AAAAACACGTTGCCCCTTGAAGTTGATCAAACAAGTCGTTTATGCGGGGTAACAGATACTTATTTTGGACAGTTACTTTGTTGAGTTGCCGGTAGTCTATACACAGCCGCATACTCCCATCCTTCTTCTTTACAAACAATACCGGAGCACCCCAAGGAGAAGTGCTTGGTCGAATAAAAACCTTGTTCAAAAGATCTTGCAATTGTTCTTTTAATTCTTTAAGTTCTGTCGGGGCCATCCGATACGGAGGAACAGAGATCGGCTGTGTGTCCGAAACTCACAGGAACTGTTTCAATACTAGATTCCGCGACTCGGGTGTCTCTAATCATGGCTAGAAACCCCTGACACCCTTTAGAGAGCAATCGCCAAGCCCTTATATAAGATATCACTCGAGCTGGAGCTAGGCTATAATCACTCTGAAATAAGAGTGGTGGTTCACCAGGCGTTTCAAACTTTACTGTCTTGGTACGGCAGTCTAAGGTGGCAAAGCAAGAAGCCAACTAGTCCATACCCAATATCACATCGAAATCAGTGATACCCAAGACAATCAAATCAGCTATAAAATCCCTATCGATCACTCTAACTGGGCAGAATTTATATACTCGACTAACCAGAATAGGCTTCCCTACAGGGTAGCCACCAGAAAAGGATTCTCAAGAGCAACAGATAGAAAGCCAAATCGAGTAGCAAAGCTCGGAGACACATAAGAGTGAGTCGATCCAGGATCAAATAAAGTACATGTGTCGAAGGAGCTAACAGTAATCATACCTATCACTACTGCATTGGACGCCTGAGCGTCCTACCTAGTCAAGGCATATACGCGTGCCTGACCTCTCCCAGACTGTCCGCGTCCTCTACCTCCAGCACCTTGTCCCTGTCCTCGAACTGGCTGCTCAGGGACCGAGGAACCAGCTCCCTCTGGGTGACCTACTCCCTGCTGATCAATTAGAAGCTGAGGGTAGTCTCTGATCCTATGGCCCATGGCCCCACACCGATAACAAGCACCAGTCTCTCGACGACATCATCCTTGATGCTTATGGCCACAAGTACGGCATGTCGGGATCTCCTAACTCTGTGGTATAGAGCTATACTACTCTGACTATGCCATGCTCCTAGTATCACCCACTGGTGCAGAAACTGCTGCAGAAATACGGCCAAGGTGTGGTGGTCCAGTATGTATAGTATGCTGCTGCCTTTGTCCTTGAAAACTGGATCTCGACTGCGAACTCTGACTCATGTTGAAAGACCCAGAATGTTTAGCCTTCTTCCTCGTCTCCTTAAGAGCTCCCTGCTCAAAACCCCTCGCCTCTATGGCCTGAGCAGCATCAACTGCCTCTGTATATGTATACCTCCCCATATGAGGGGCTAACACCTGAAACAGAGGCTCCACTAACCCTCGGATAAATCTCTTCGCCTTAACTTGCTCATCCGTAACTAAATGCAGGGCATATCTAGACAGATGGTTGAACCGAGCGTCATACTCTGGAACTGTCATACTCGCAGTCTGTCAGAGACCCTCAAACTCTGCAGCCAACTGGTCCCTCTTATTAGCTGAGAGGAACCGATCCATGAACGCAGTAACAAACTCCTCCCACATCATCGATGCCGCCTCTTGCGGTTTCCCAGATACTGTGGTCTTGTACCAAGACCGTGCCAAATCATGCAGTTTGCAACTAGCCAACTCTACACTCCTGGCACTAGAGCACCTCATAACCTCAAAAATAATCTCCATCTGATCGATGAAGTGCTGTGGATCCTCGGTGCTCCCCCTCCCAGAAAAAGTCGGTGGCTTAAACCAAAGGAAATCTTGAACCTGATTGTCGAGGCTAACCTGGGACTGCCTCCCCACTGTCTGAGTAACCTCAACTATTGCCGGGACCTACTGTCTCCTCTGTGTCGGCACTTGCCCAGTCACTGGCAGAGCCTCTCTAGTCCTCGGGCCTAACTCGCACTTACCTCTGGTGCTCCCTGACTGGCATTATTTTGAGTGCCGGTCCTTCCCTGATCTGCCAATTTCTCTACCAAATTAACCAGGGTCTGCTGTAACCCGGTCATGCTCGTCACCATCGCCTGTGCATACCCACCATCATCATCTACTATATACCCTGGATAATCTGGACCACTCTATCAGAACTGTCAACAGACTGAGCCTCCCTCTCTGGCTCTACCCGACCTGCCCTACCGGTCGTCCTTCCTCGACCTCTTCCTCTGCTTCTCGGCCTACCTCGCCCTCTAGCGGGTACGGAAGACTGTGCCTCCAACCGTATCTCAGGAGTAAGCGATATGTCTTAGGATGTATCGGGAACAACTGACTGCTCATGGTCAGAGTCAGAAATTGTGTTATCGAACGATGCGTCCATCTATTTAGAGATTTCAAAATACCAAATAGCAAAAGTCAGAATAAGGAGTCAAAATAAGGACAAGATTAAAGCACACTCAGAATCAGATTAACTCCTAACTGTCCCTCAATAGCCCCTCGATTATGAAAATGGCCGGCTCATAATCATAAGCGAGACGCTATAGAAAAACGCTGCTCCCATGATCACAGATAACCTAGAGCTCTGATACCAACTTTGTCACGACTCGGTCGTCGAGTCCGTGACCGGCTCTAGATTTAGGATAAACCTAACCCGCAAGCCTTAAATGATCAGATTTGTTAATAGGATGAAATAAAAACTTAGCTTAATACAGAGTTCAAAGTCTGATACAAACTGTCGAAAATGCAATACACTTATTGAAAACCTTGTCTGTGATCACAAAGCTAACAACTAGAATAACAAAACCATACAACTGAAGGAAACAGAAACTAACTGCTAATCTCGAGAACCGAAACAGAAAACAAAATCGATCACTGAAGCAGAAAACAGAATCGATCGACTCCTATCACACTGCAGGATCTGTCGGCAGAGTCGAACCTGAATCTGAAAAAAATAAAATAATGAGCCTATTGACCCAGTGAATAATAGTATATATTTATATGACGAGCGACATATATCCTGTATTTTAGCATAAAAAGACAGTTTTCACAATTTTACCAGTTAGAGAGTTCGATACCGAGAACTGAACAGAAACAGGACGGCAACTCATGGTATGCCGATATACAAATATCAGGACGGCGACTCAAAGTTTGTCGGTAATCAATAAACAGGCCTACCACGTCAGCCACACGTGATAGTCTAGCACCACCCCTGCTAGCTGGGGATACAGGTCAGGATGCATCTAGTCTAACACCTACTGCCGTTAGCTACAGTATTTTAACAGTACGATACTCTCTTAAAATTATTTATCAGAGTTTATCAGAGAAAGTTTCAAATTTCAAAGTCTTAAACATGTACCAGTAAGTGAAATCAGAAATCCAGAAGTTTTTCTAACAAATTAGAAAATGACATATACGTCCCTCGTAACTTTTCTAACAATTTAAGTTCCACTGGATAATAACTGAAATAATTTTCAACTTACGTAAAAACAGGAAATTTAAATAAATAAAACAACATTTTAAACATATAAATATATAATATTACTCACAGAAACCGAGAATCATGCAAATCGAGCTTCGACAGTTCGGCTCCTCGAAACTCAACCACTTAATCTAAAATAATCAAAATGTTTATTTTAGAATATAATATTTCTCAAAATTAATTATAAACTAAATTATTCTTAAAAATTCAACCTTTCTTTAAATTTTATGTTTTAAGCTATTTCGGGAATTTTAAAGTCCCGAACCGATCAAAATCCTACTAAACCGAATTTTCTAAACATTGAACCGAGCACAATATTTAATGAACCAGTAAGAAAACCCAAAGAACTGGGAGTGAAACCCATTAAAGCAGTCTCAAAACCAATGAACTGGCCTTAATTCCCTTAATTTTGCCATAAAATCCCTTGAACCGGTCTTAAACCAATTGAATTGGTTTTAAATTGTATAGAACCAACCACAGAAGTCAATGAACCGGACTTAGAATCACTGAACCGGTTAATCTTTGCCCTGAACCGGCTTTAAATAGGTTAAACCGGTGGTTTTCTAATTTTCTATTAATTTATTTAATCTTGGACCAGCCGGTTCACCATTGAACCGACCGGTTTAGCCTTGAACCGGCCACTCATCACGTAGATAATTTAATTATCTATATTTTGGTACTTTGAACGGGCCAAGAACCGGTTTGGAAGGGCCTGAACCGGCGGGTTCTTTGTTTCTGTTTTGTTTCCTGTTGTCTATTTTCTGTTGTTTTTCTCCTTTTCTATCTGTTTCCTGTTTTCTCTTTTTTCTTTTTCTGTTGGGCTGGGCTTGGGCCCAAAATTGAAAACCCACTCCTAATTGTTGATTTGGACCTGGCCCATTGGCCATGGTCTAGCCCGAAGTTTTCTGTCCGGCCCAAACCGTCTGGGTTGGCCCAACAATTATCCAAAGTCTCCTAGACCCGATAGGAAACGGGTCGTCTTCCTCACCTGTTTCGGGTTTGATACAAACCCGACTTGTAGAAACATCAACCGGAAAAAAAAAACAAATTTACCTCGGCTTTCTGTCGATTGAATCCTTCCTTGGTGCTCGAAACGATTCGACGAAGTCCACCAAAACCTTAATTTCTACAATCGGCTGAAATAATCGGGACAAAACAAATTAGAAGAACCGACGGACCCTCGGACTGAAACTCCCAGAATCAATTTGTATCTCGCTCGAATTCTAAAAATTGACAGAGGGATTTTGTTGCTGGGCAAGAATCGGTCCAATTTATAATTTCATTTTAGTCAAAAACCTCTGTTTTAATTTGAATTAAGGGGGAATTAGTTTCGGGCCGAACATCTGTAACATACAGACGTTCGAATCCTTCAAATAAATTTTTTTTTTTTTTTTTTTTTTTTTTTTTTTTTTTTTTTTAAGTCCCCCAGGTTTGCCAACTTTTTAAATTGGCCCAGGGGTTTTACACATTTTGTCCCACCAATATGGATCAAGAGACACAACTCCCTCCCCATGTTCTATTCTTTCCCTTGCACCTCCAAAGCCCCTTAACTCCATGCTCAAGCTTGCCGAGCTCCTCTGCCTTGCCGGCAGCCTCCATGTCACCTTCCTCAACTCTCTCTACAACCATCGCCGCCTCCTCCTCTACTCTGACATCACCACCCGCATACAACGCTATCCTTGTCTTCAGTTCGCAACCATTTCCGATGGCCTCCCGAAGACCACCCACGTTGCGGGGAACGGGTCATTGAGATGTTTGCTACTTTACAGGTTAGGGAACGTTACTTTACTTATTTATTCCAGGGATTCTGGGTGTCAAACCCAGTCTATATTTAATACTCTTACATGTTTTCAGGCCACCACCAAGCCGCTTTTCAGGGAGATGATAACTTCCGGGTGCCTCATTTCACCCTCCAGAAGGCCTTTCACTTGCATCATGGCAGAAGCAGTTCTGAGTTTTGCAATGGACGTGGCAGATGAGATGGGAATTCCTGTTATTTACTTTGACACCATTAGTCCTAGCTGCCTCTGGATTTATGCTTGTATTCCCAAGCTCATTGAAGCCGGAGAACTTCCCTTACCTGGTGAGTTAGCTCCTGTCCTTTTCTATTCTTTTCTTTTCCCTTTTCTGCCCCTTAAATTTTCCTTCGGCAGCTTTCATACCGTTGTAAACAGTATTTTGATAACTAGATCAAACCAGTAGATTCAATCGGAACTGTAGACTCTTCGAGTTGGTTCATTCTATAAAACCATTTTAATATCAAAAGTATGGAAACTAGTCCAAATCAGGCAAAATTCCAAAAATCAAAAAAACTAATTTGATAGTTTAACCAATTTTTTTTTTATATAAAATATGAAATGATACTGTTTAATAAAATATATCCATTTTATATCATAATATTTAAATTTTAAAAATTTATTATATTTAATATAATACTAGTTGAACTAATAATTAAATCCATAAAAATAGTTTAAATCAATAAAATTAATCAAACTGACAACCAATATGACCATTAATTCTATGTCTGATTCAGTTTTTAAAATATTGGTTGCCAATGAAATGGTATTGATCCCGTTAGTTACTTTAATTTTATTGGTTTTCAATTAAGTTGGTATGGTTGAAAAATATATAAAAAACTCATCGGTTCATTTACTTTCTTTCCTCTTTCCTATGGTTCTCATATAACCTAGTTTCTATTGCTACTATGACTTCAAAATTTATTAAAAAACAAAATGTAAAATCCACGTAAGGGTGTAATTAAGACGCTACTTTTCTTAATTAGGCTTTTTTGGCTTGAAAATTGCATATTCCTCCTCTAGAAAAATTTTATTTACTGTTGTTTAACTTCGCTAGAAGACGACTTGGATGCACCATAACGTGCGTACCAAGCATGGAAGGTTTTCTTCGGCGTCGTGATCTTCCAGGCTTCTATCACGCCGGTGACTTTGCTGACCCCAATGCCCGATGTATTATGATAGAGACGCAAAAACTCCCAAACGCCCGGGGACTCATAACCAACACCTTTGAAGAGCTAGACGGACCTATACTCTCTCACCTTCGTTCCATCTGTCTGAACCTCTACGCCGTGGGGCCACTCCACACGCACCTAAAGGCCAAACTCGCAGCTGAGACTTCGCCACCGCCGCCAACTTCTTCAAACAGCTCATGGCGTGAAGACCGGAGTTGCATGGCATGGCTGGACGCACAACCTCCCGAATCTGTCGTCTATGTGAGTATTGGTAGCGTTTCAACAATGACGGTGGAGGAGCTTATGGAGATCTAGCATGGGTTGGTGAACAGCGGGAAGCGATGTTAAAGATAATTCCTAGTAATTATCTTAGATTATGATTTAATTTTTATGTAATTATCTTTAGAAAATTAGAGTTTTACTAGGGTTATAATTCCTATTAGAACTAGGATTAATTTTTCTATAAATAGGACCCTTTGTAATCATTCATGTTCATGGAATAAAATTTGAGTATTAGTTTTCCATCAGTGGTATCAGAGCCTTCTTCCTAGGATCCTTCTGCAGTAAGGACCTAAGTGAAGAAATTGAGAGTTTGAGAGGCTTAGGTGAAGATAGTCCAAAATCCAGGGACCTAAACTTAAATAAGTTCAGGGTCTAAAGTGAAAATCCGGAGAGTTGAAGGACCAAACCGCAAAACAAGAATCTTCGAAGGACCAAATTGTAATTTGGTCATCTTCTTCCTTGGAGCAGTTCCGACTGAAGCAGATCCGAAGCGTCCAACCTATTGCAGATCCATCCAGCCGAAGCTGAAGCAGATCCGACCACCAGACTGCAGATTCATCCGAGACCCGAAGCTGTCCAAAGCTGAAGCAGATCTGACCACCAGACTGCAGATCCATCCGAGACCCGAAGCTGTCCAAAGCTGAAGCAGATCCGACCACCCAACTGCAGATCCATCCGACGAAGGCTTCAATCTAGATCCGAAGCTGTTCCTCCCAAGATAAAATCCGTCTGGTTGTAGCAGATCTATCCAAACTATCGCAGATCCATCCGCCCGAAGCAGTTGCAGATCGTCCAGTGTTACTGAATCCGATAGACCCAAAGCAGATCCAATCCGTTGCAGATCTGCACAACCCGAAACTATTACAGATCCGCACGCTTGAAGCAAGCTGCAGATCGTTCGACAGACACGAAGCAGAATCAGATCCGCAAGCCAAAGCAAGTTGCAGATCCGTTCTACAGACCCGAAGCAGAATCCAAGCAGAACAGATTCAGCAGCCGCCATTGTTGCAGTCAGAACCAGATCCGGACGGACAATCCAGCAGATCTGAAATCCAATCTGAGACACAGCAGAACAATCCAAACCCGAAGCAGAACAGCAGAACACGGGATCCAACAGATTGCAGCAGAACAGTCCTATCTGGCCGAAGTTGAAGCAGATCCGGCCGAACCCGAAGCAGTTGAAGATTCTCTGACCCAAAGCTGTCCATCCAATTGTTGCAGATCCGAAGCAGATCCAGAACAGGAGCAAAGTCCATCCAAATTGTTGCAGACATGAAGCAGATCAAAGCTGATCTAATCTGCAGCAGACCCGACCCGGTCCGACCCGACCCACTGAACTAGGTTGACCCGACCCGGTTCATCTGAACCGGACCAACCAGATTCTGAACCAGATCACTTGAACCAGACTATCCAAAAAGCCCAAAAGTAAACTGGTTCAAACAAAACATCAAAAGGGCTTCCAATGGCGTCCGATAGCTTCGTACAACCTGCCATTCCACGGTTTGATGGACATTATGACCACTGGAGCATGTTGATGGAGAATTTCTTGAGATCCAAAGAATACTAGCAGGTGGTTAGTGAAGGTATTACAGAACCTTCATCCAAAACCAAAGGCGGAGCATAACCATCAACACCAACAGCGTTGACAGCCGTCCAAATGACAGAATTGGAGAGTTTAAAGCTGAAAGACCTGAAGGCCAAAAACTATCTCTTCCAGGCAATAGACCGAACGGTCTTGGAGACTATTCTTAACAAGGAGACTTCAAAGGACATATGGGACTCCATGAAAAAGAAATATCGAGGCTCATCAAGAGTGAAGCGTGCACAGCTTCAAGCCTTGAGACGAGACTTTGAGATTCTCGAGATGAAAGACGGTGAGTCTATCACGAGCTATTTTTCTCGAACCATGGAGATTGTCAACAAGATGCGGTTTCAAGGAGAGAAGATGGAAGATGTCACCATTGTTGAAAAGATCTTGCGCTCCCTGACACCGAGGTATGATTTTGTTGTTTGCTCCATTGAGGAATCTAAAGATCTTGATTTACTCTCAGTTGATGAACTCCAAAGCTCCCTTCTGGTGCACGAGCAAAAGTTGACCCGAAGTTCAACTAAGGAGGAGCAAGCCCTTAAGGCTTATTCTCCTTCCCGATCTTCGAACTCTAGAGGAAGAGGTCGAGGAGGAGGAAGAGGCAGAGGTAAAGGAAGAGAAGGACAAAGTTCCAGAGATGGAGACAAACAACAAGAACAGCATTCAAAAACAACAACAACCAAGGCCAAGGGAGAGGACGGCATAACAAATCCAAGGTTGAATGTTATAGGTGTCACAAATTTGGCCATTACAGTTATGATTGCTACACCAAAATGCCGAATAAAGAAAGAGGGGAGAAAACAAACTTTGTAGAACAACAGGAACAGCAACATGATGCTGAAACCATTCTGATGGCCACCCACATCACAAACCCATCCGAATCAGATGTATGGTATGTAGACACGGGATGCAGCAATCACATGTGCGGAAGTAAGTCACTTTTCTCAAATCTAAATGAAAATTTTCAATCAACTGTTCGCTTTGGTGATAGCTCTGCAGTTGAGGTACTCGGGAAAGGTGATATTAACATCCGCACCAAGAATGGCTTTGTAGAAACCATCTCCAACGTCTTCTATGTTCCAGACCTGAAAAGTAACTTGTTGAGCGTTGGACAACTACAAGAGAAGGGTTATGTAATAACCATCCAGAAAGGATCGTGCGAGATATATGATCCTAAAAGAGGAGCCATTGCTACCATCAAGATGAGCACAAACAGGTTATTCCCTTAAAACTTCAACATGCTCCTTCCTGTTTTTGACCGAAATCAAGAATCCATCTTGGCTTTGGCATTACCGATATGGGCACCTGAACTTTGGAGGATTAAGGACTCTCCAACAGAAGAATATGGTTAAAGGTCTTCCTCAGATTATAGCTTCTTCACAAGTTTGTGAGGACTGTGTTGTTGGCAAACAACCTCGCTCTCAGTTCCCTCAAGGAAAATCATGGAGAGCCAAGAAAGTACTAGAGTTGATCCATTCTGACATTTGTGGCCCTATCACTCCGACTTCCAATGGTGGTAACCGTTATTTTATTACTTTTACTGATAATTATTGTAGGAAAACTTGGGTTTATATTTTGCAGGAAAAGTCAGAAGCCTTTGGGATATTCAAAAGTTTCAAGGCACAAGTGGAGAAAGAGACAAGAAGAGCCATAAAAACTCTAAGGACTGATCGAGGTGGAGAATATTGCTCCAAGGAGTTCAATGCCTTCTGTGACAACCAAGGCATTCGAAGGGAGCTTACTGCAGCCTATTCACCTCAACAGAATGGAGTCTCTGAGAGGAAGAATAGAACCATTCTCAACATGGTTCGTAGCATGATCACCAAAGGAAGGATCCCGAAAACCTTCTGGCCTGAGGCAGTCAATTGGAGTGTTCATGTGCTGAATAGGAGCCCTACTTTTTCTGTCCTCAACATGACACCAAAACAAGCATGGAGTGGGAGAAAGCCATCTGCTGGCCACTTCAAAATCTTTGGGTGCATCGCATATGCACATGTTCCTGATCAGAAAAGAAAGAAACTGGATGACAGAAGTGAAAAGTGTGTCTTCCTGGGGATAAGTGAAGTTTTCAAGGCTTACAAGCTTTACAATCCAGTCACAAAAAGATTGTAATCAGTAGGGACGTTGTTTTTGACGAGGGAAACACTTGGAATTGGAGTGATGATGTTTCTAGGCAGCAGCCTATGCAGGTCAGTTTTGATGATAAAGACACAAACCCATCATCTCCTCAACAAATTCAAACCTCTGGCAAACACACGATTCAAATTGACCCTATAGAAGAGCCTCAACAACGTCCAGAAAGAAACCTAACTGGATGCAAGACTATGTAACAGGTGAGGGGTTATCTGATGATGATATTGCTCACTTTGCCTTATTTGCAGATTGTGATCCTATTAGATTTGAAGAAGCTGCTAAGGATCCAAAATGGCAAAAAGCAATGGATGAAGAGATCAGGGCCATTGAAAGGAACAACACTTGGGACTTGATAGACCTTCCAGCAGGAAAAAGCCATTGGAGTCAAATGGGTTTACAAAACCAAACTAAATAAGGATGGCAGCATCAACAAGCACAAGGCTCGACTTGTGTAAAAAGGGTACAAGTAGGAATATGGAGTTGACTATAAGGAGGTGTTTGCTCCAGTTGCTCGCCTTGACACCATTCGACTGGTATTATTTATGGCTGCACAGAAGTCGTGGCTATCTATCAGCTGGATGTAAAATCAGCCTTCCTGCATGGAGACCTACAAGAAGAGGTATATGTTGATCAACCTCTTGGATATGCCAAGTATGGCAATGAGCATAAAGTTTACAAGCTCAGAAAAACTCTATATGGCTTAAAACAAGCCCACGGGCTTGGTACAGTCGTATTGAAGCTTACTTTACCTGAGCAGGTTTCCAGAAGTGCCCTTATGAACATACTCTCTTCACAAAGACTCATACCAATGGAAGTATACTTATGGTATGTTTATATGTGGATGACCTCATCTACACTGGGAATGACAAAGGTATGCTTGCTAAATTCAAAGAGAATATGATGTCAGAATTTGAAATGTCAGACCTAGATTTGATGCATTACTTCCTTGGTATTGAGGTTTCTCAGTCATCACTTGGAATCTTTGTTTCACAAAAAAATATGTTCTTGAGATTTTGGATAGATTCCAGATGAAGGATTGCAATCTTGTTAGCACACCCACTGAGTATGGTCTCAAGCTCAAAAGAGATGATGAAGGAAAGAAGGTGAATCCCACACTCTACAAACAGATGGTTGGATGCTTGATGTACTTAACCGCAACAAGACGGACATTATGTATAGTGTCAGTTTAATAAGCTGGTATATAGAAAATCCATCTGAAAATCATCTCTCAGCTGTCAAAAGGATTCTGCGATACTTGAAAGGTACAGTTGACTTTGGAATCCTTTATCAGAAAGGAGATAATGAAGATTTGCTTCTTGGCTTTACAGATAGTGATTATGCTGGAGATATTGATGACAGAAAGAGTACATCAGGTTTTGTATTTATGATGAGTTCTGGAGCAATCTCTTGGTCATCAAAGAAACAACAGATAGTTACTTTATCTTCTACAGAAGCTGAGTACGTTGCTACAACAATATGTTCCTGTCAAGCTATCTGGTTAAGGAAGTTAATGGAAACACTTCAAAGCAAGCAGATGGGACCAACTACTATCTTTTGTGATAATGCTTCAGCAATCAAAATTTTCAAGAATCCAGTGTTACATGGGAGAAGCAAACACATAGATGTTTGTTATCACTTTCTGCTGGGACCAATGTAATAATGGTGTGATCAATCTTGAGTTTTGTCCAAGTGGTGAACAAGTTACAGATATTATGACCAAACCCCTCAAACAAGACATGTTTGTGAAGTTTCGATCAAGGCTTGAGATGATTTCAGTTAAGGACATCTTTCTAAACTGATTTCCGTAGCTATCAGTTTAAGGGAGGGTGTTAAAGATAATTCCTAGTAATTATCTTAGATTAGGATTTAATTTCTATGTAATTATCTTTAGAGGAATTAGAGTTTTACTAGGATTATAATTCCTATTAGAACCAGGATTAATTTTCTTATAAATAGGACCATTTGTAATCATTTATGTTCATGGAATAAAATTTGAGTATTAGTTTCCATCAAGCGATTCTTGTGGGTCAGAAGAGAAAACTCTATTGTCGGTGACGATTGGGTGGATCAAACTTGACAAAGCTCTTGGAGGCAACGAAGGAGAGAGGATGTGTGGTCAGTTGGGCACCGCAAGAGGAGGTGTTGGGTCACGGGGCAGTTGGAGGGTTTCTAACTCATGGTGGGTGGAACTCCACGTTGGAGCGCATGGTGGAGGGAGTGCCCATGGTATGCTGGCCTCGCTTTGTTGACCAACAAGTGAGTAGTAGATTTTGTGGAGAAGGTGTGGGAGATTGGATTGGACATGAAAGATAGGTGCGATCGAGTAACAGTAGAGAAAATGGTGAGAGAGGTGATGGAGTTAAGGAGAGATGAGTTCATGAACTCTGCAGATCGAATAGCCAAATTGGCCAGAGCAAGTGTTGTGGAGGGTGGATCGTCATTTTGTGATTTGAACCGTCTTATTCAGGACATAAAACCAATGGCCTGACTGGTTCAATAACTGGGGTTGGATTTCGAACTTATAATCATTAAGGTCTCCAATTTTAAAGATGAGAGAAGGTGACAGCAGACCAACGGACCATCCGCAACGACTATTCAATCTGCTCTCCAAATTTAAACAAAATATCTAATCATCTCTCCTTTTATTTGTGAGAATTTTGTCAGCTTGACACAATTAATATGGTAATTATGCAAACAAATGTCCTGAATTTGCCCTTTACTATTTTATTTTATATATAAAAAAAAACTTAACTAAACAATCCAATTATAAAATAAATCCAACCCGAGGCAGATGAATAAAACCCAGGAGAATATTAATGAATAAATAAATTAAATAAAGTAAATTTTCCATTCCCTTAGCCAAGGCATGCTAAAGAAATACTCTTAATAACTCGATTAATGCTGTTGTCCATTTGTTTAAAAAAAAAAAAAAAGAATCCTGAACATTTTTCCCTCTTTTTAATATTAACTATCAACTTGGCATAGCAATTAATTATAATATAAAAATCAATCCCGACGTTTTGATTTATTTATTTATTTATTTTCTATGCTTCGGTTCTGCTGTTATCTGTGTTGGGTTTTTAAATAATGGTTCATAGCTAACTGGGCAAATGAGATTACCACAGTACACCTTACGATGTTTATTCTTAACTATCCACAAGAAAGGAATAAATTATTATGTTAATTGCACACCATAGAGTATTATAAAATAATTTTTACAAATTAAGTCCTTCTATTCACGAGAAATTACGTAAAATTAATTAAATGAAAATTTAACAAAATCCGATCAATATGGGCAACCCATTAACAGCTAACATTATTGAAGTTGTAATCTGTACTAATATTACATATGGATTGTAGGCTTCTGATTCCATCAATTCACAGACATATCCAAAATTAGAGGAAATTGTATTTTTTTCTTCTTCTTTTTTTTTTTCTAAGATGGAGAGAAAACCAAGGCAAGTTTAGGGAATGTCTGGCATTTTGAAGTTTATGGTAGTTTAACCACATGACTATGACTTAACAATACTTCTTCTTGGCCTACCTTCTCCTTCACTTTCAAGGCTCCCTTAATATTTTGTGTTTTCACTCTTCTCCAGTTCTTGATAAGGAATCAAATCTCTTACTTAATCTGCAGTCAAAAATCTATTTGGTACTAAAATGAGGAACAAAGTTAGTGATAGGCTTACAGACAGAAAACATAAGAGTTATCTTGCAATTCAGCAAGCTATATATTACAAAATCTCTTTAAATTGACTAGAAAATGCAACATCTTCAATTGCCTGAGCCAACATGAGCATCCTAGAATGTTTTCAGTTTCATTAGGTTGAGAGAAAATTGAAGCAACCATTGATCTTTACCCTGTTTACTTGATTGTTAGCAACAATGTTACATCTATATATTGAGCTGTACAATTCAGAGAATAAAAATTAAATCAACTGAAAATTTTAATAACACTAGAACATTAAAGACAAGTATTTGTTGAATTCAGAATTGATTTTTATTTTTGCAATAGATGAGGACAAATAAATCATTGTACATTATAAATCAGAAATATTATTCACAATTAGTTGGAACTTATGGAAAACAAGAAAATGAAAGATCAAATCAAAATACTGCGAAATGATGTGTTCAATGGCTTCTTGCAACTTTCAAATCTTGATTTTATCTAGCAGAGAAGACATCTCTACCACAAAACAAGTATGCTTGAGGATTCAAGCAGAAAACTCAAGAGGTAAAGACAAGAATTTCCCAACACTATTTATGAAAAGAATTTGAAGTGCGATTGATATCTTCTTCAGATTCCATTGAAAAATGTGTCCATGAATCATTTTTATGGAGAATTCAAGTGAATGAAATCAGGAATTGTAAATTGTTGAAACTGATCACCTTATTACTTTCGAGGGTCTTGAAGGTTTGATTGCATGCTTTTGTTCTCTTCCAAGATGCAATTCATAGTCCCACGGTGTCCTTAGTTTTTTAGCCAGGCTTAAGAACCTCTCTCACTTGGTCTACATAGCAGAAGCATGTCTTATGTACTAAACAAAGCAGGTAAACTTATGATTGCAACAAGGACTTTGACCAACTTACAAACAAAAGCCCAATTGAGTAATAGAAATTTGGTAACCTCCATTTTAGTTGTCTTTAAAATTCATCATCTGCAATTACTTAAATCGATGTAGTGTTTTGTAGTTTCATCAGATAAGTTTAGAAAACCATTATATCCTTTTATACAAGGTTTTCTGCTTGTTGCACTCACTGCTAACAACTGTATTTGAATAGTTAGCTGTACATTTTACAAATAAAGGAAGAAAAAATAATAACCATTTAACATTTGTTACCACCAACTTGTAAAAGTTAAACATAACCATTAGTTATCAGTACACATGCCAATGATAATCAAACAACCATAGCTTACCAATATGTGCCATATCTATCACATTCAGGGGCCATGATTGTCACATGTTTTTATGATCTTCCACTAAGAAATACATAGCTTCTCAAATCTCCACCAATTCTCAACCAAGTTTGAAAACCTCTCGGACTTTGTCTATAAATAATAAAAATGTTTTACGTACTAAATAGAGTTATATTTTTATTTTTAATCACTCAAACATAATTTTAACATGGGTTTTATTTCCTCTATTTTTGAGAACATTTTTTAACAAAATCAAACAGATTGGTTATGCTTGTGGGATATACTTGAAAGTGAAGGTTCTTTTTCCAAACAGATCTTTAATTTCAAGTTGCAACTCAAACAACTGGTATTTTCTTCTCTTAGAGTGGGAGAAAAAAAGAGAGAGAAGAAGAACAAGAAAAAGAAAAAGGAAAGTTATAATATATTTCACAAAAAAAAATATTTCCATTTGAAAAATATTTCACAACAAAAAAAAAATCCATTTTTTCATTATTTTGTTGCTTGAGAAGTTCTATTAAAGATCAAGGTTCTAAACTTTGGGCTATCCAAACAAACAGGGTACCTCTTCACCAATATGATGATTACTAGTGATCTATACAATTCACTCAATTGAAGTTGTATGTTTGAGTTTAAAAAGGACAGCTTTCTCATCCATCTAAGAACAATATCCATGTTTGATTTAACTTGCACATAACTTGAAGATTTGAGAGAAATAATCCACTTATTTTATTCAAATAAGATTAAGTACATATATAGGAATAGTCTACAGTTAAGCAGACTATAAAACAGGAAACAATCCTAACTAATGGAGGAAAATCCTCCATAAATTAAGGAATGCTAATTTACAGGATCTGATATGCCTAAACTAGGAAACAAAATAATTATAAATTAGGAAATAAATAAATAGGAAATCCTAATCTAAATCTTGCAAGAATTCCACACTCCCCCTCAAGCTGGGTTGTAAATATTGTCCACACCCAGCTTGTGACTCAGTTCTTCAAAACTTGTTTTTGGAAGGGCTTTGGTAAGAATATATGCTATTTGAGACTTTGTAGGTGTGTATGCAAGTTGCACAATTGAGTCTTTGATTTTCTCCAAGATGAACTGTCGATCAATCTTGACGTGTTTGGTCCGATCATGGTGAACAGGGTTCTTAGCAATGCTAATAGTAGCTTGATTATCACAGAACATCATGATAGGATCCTTTTGAGTTACTCCTAGTTCCTTAAGCAGCCTTTGTATCCATATTCCCTCGCAGATGCCTAATGCTAGTGCCCTAAATTCAGCCTCAGCACTGCTCCTTGAGATCACAGGTTGCTTCTTGCTCCTCCAAGTTGCGAGGTTTCCCCACACATAAGAACAATAACTTGATGTGGAACGTCTATCTCTTATATCACCAGCCCATCTGCATCCGAGAAAACTTCAATGGTTCTCTTGTCATTTTTCTTGTACAGCAATCCCTTGCCTGGAGTCATCTTTAGATATCTCAAAATCCGGTTTACAGCTTCCATATGCTCCTCAGTTGGATTGTTCATAAACTGGCTTACAACACTCACAGAAAAACCAATGTCAGGATGAGTGTGTGAGAGGTAGATAAGACGACCAACGAGTCTCTGATATCTTCCCTTGTCCACTGGTGCAGAGTTTTTCTTCAATTCCTATCTTCTTGGTGGAGTCCATAGGAGTGTCTGCTGGTTTGCACCCTAGCATCCCTGTTTCTTTCAATAAGTCTAGAACATACTTGCGTTGTGAGATAAATATTCCTTTCCTTGATCGTGCCACCACCATTCCAAGGAAATATTTAAGAGGACCAAGATCCTTGATCTCAAATTCCCCAGCCAGTAACTTTTTCATCCTTGTAAGTTCATGTTCGTAATCCCCTGTCAGAATTATGTCGTCAACATATACAATTAATACTGCAACCTTCTTTTCAGGGGAAAATTTTACAAACATGGTATTATCTGCTTGGCATTGAGTGTACCCATGCCTTACAACTGAATATACAAACTTACCAAACCAAGCACGAGGGGACTGTTTTAAACCGTACAAGGATTTTCTAAGTTTGCATACTCTGCTGTAGTTTGCTTCAGTTTTCAACCCTGGTGGAATTTCCATATAGACTTCTTCTTCAAGGTCACCATTTAGGAATGCATTTTTGACATCTAATTGGTGTAATGGCTAGTCGTTGTTAGCTGCAAGTGATAGGAGAATACGGACAGTGTTGAGTTTGGCTGCTGGAGCAAATGTTTCTTGGTAGTCTATCCCATATGATTGAGTGAATCCCTTGGCAACAAGACGAGCTTTTAATCTTTCAATACTTCCATCAGCTCTGTGTTTGACAGTAAAAATCCATTTACAGCCAACAGGTTTCTTCCTCTAGGAAGATTAGTGATCACCCATGTATCATTCTTTTCCAATGCACTAATTTCTTCATGCACGGCTTTCCTCCATCCAGGGCTCTCAAGAGCTTCTTGTATGGACTGAGGGATCTGCACACTGTCAAGAGAAGTGACAAAGGCCTGGTATGATGGTGATAGGCCTTCATATGAAACAAATCTGCAGATAAGATG